GAGCCTAAGTATCTGGTTCCATCTGACTCCTGAAGCTGCCATTTCTCATTGCTGCTTTGTTTCCAAGTCATTATATAATGCTGCAATGCTCTTTGAAGCTCTTTAATCACTCATATAACTGAATCATTTAAAATACCTGATCATCATATAATTAAAGGAGCTGTATGTAAGAAATTTATTTGAATTAATCATAAAATGGCCCTGATATGTCACTAGACATTGAGAAATCATGTTCATTTCAAATACTTATATCACTGACAACAGTAGTCCGGCCAGGATATTGTCATTTAAAAAGTGAAGTTGCAGCCCTCAACTGATGTTGATGTTGTCATGTTGTGTTTTGGTCTGATGCTCCACCCTCCACCTATCGACCATTCACGAAGTCAGTAGTGTTGCGCCATCCGGGTTGCCAGCTCTGCTCTAGTTACCACAGCTGCAGCTACACACGTGTCGGATAAAAAAATGCAGCCGATCTGGCAACCTCAAGTCGGGGGGAGGGGGAGGGGGAGGGGATACACCGCTCTACAGTAATTTGAAAGTGATTGCAGTACCGGTTTTGGCCACAATCTTACATACAGCTCCTTTAATGGAACTGAAAATATGATGTTGCAGGTAGTAGCCTAACCAGCACTTGGATTTCAAGTATTCAGTCTATTTGGTTTTGAGTGTGCCCTCATCTCCCCGAGAGCCTGTCCCATTACTACAGACGAGGAGCTGGTAGGTGACTACTCTACCTGGTATACAGGCATGCCCATACCTGCTTCCCAAAGCTCAATCCATGCGTGTGATACCTGCAAAAGAGCACAGTCCTGAAATTTGTTTTGTTGGTATAAATTGACAATATCCTTGGATTTAAATCACCAACAATACTTTAAGTAAAACAGGCATCTGATATTAGATGTGTTTTTATTCAGATTTGGCATCACATTTAATTGGTTCACATTTAATCACAAGTTCTTCTAAACTGTGACATACATAATTGCAATAGTTGATACAAGCAGTGGTCCTCTAGCACATGGGATCCCCACCCAAAACGACAACACTTGTTTTTCAAGATCTACTCTTGCCAGATGATATGTCTGTAGCTTCATTCAACCTTTCTCATGCTTTATCTCAAACTAGCCATAAGCCAAACAGCAGATATTACCAAATTCAAAGACAGTTTGGTCTGTTTGGGTAGCCTGGGAAAACCCAGACAACTTCTGGCAAATTTAGATTTGATCTGAAAGTTAGTCTGGCAAAGAGCTCATTCAAGCCCATTTCCAATCCGTCAAAATCGAGGCACCAATCAGAAACGTTGGGGCGGGCTTTACACGATGACGACAGCACTGGGATTTTGTAGCCTACATTAGAAAGATGGATGCCGCCGTCGAACATCACTCGTTCGAATCAGCTATCGCATCTGTTTTAAGCGATTTGAGCATTTCCTTTTTGTTAAAAACCGAGCAAAGAACAACACTCGGAGATGTGTTTCCGCCGCTCTGCATACGTCATCTCCTTCATCGCTCTGATTGGTTTTAGGTCTATCCGCGACGTCAGTTGGTGACGCCCCTCTGGAAATGATTTGTCTAGGGCTGTAGTCAACCAAAGAAATCCTTAGTCGACCAAAGTCCTGTCCTGCGCAACGATTAGTCGACTAAATAAAAAAAAAAAAAGACGCAATGTTTTGATTGAACATTTTTTAACAATTGTCATAGAGCATTTATAAAACAACAACGAAAAAACATCAAAAATACATAAAACTATAATAATAATAATACAATTCTTTGAAAATTAAGTGATTTTTTTTAACTGCAAAGTGAGGAGCACTGTCCTAGGTCTATAGTAACAGTCACAATCGCGCACCTGACCACACCACACGCTACACAAAATAACTGCTATCTGCCACATAATGAAACATCCTAACAAAAGCTCTCGTTTACAGGCTGTATATTGTTCTTTACTTGTCTTTCAAAGTTATGGGTTAACTTTTGTCCAGCCGATCTAGGAGTTTTAAAACAAACACACAAAAAAACCCAAAGAGCCTAAAAAACAATCCTAATAATAATAGGCTGTATTGTAGGACCGCATATAGGTTTATTTTCGTTTTGTTACATTATTTAGGCTATTTTCAAATGCGTCAAGTGTACAAATAAAAACAAAAACATATCAAGAAAACACAATCTATTGAGTCAGCATGATAAACCCGTTAAAGGGCCTGCTCACGTCTTTTGCGCGCTCAAGTTCGATTTCAAATGTAGGCGCGCAGTGTGCGCGCTCATGATGGAAGCAACGCGGTCGCGGTGCGACGCGCTCTTTTTTTTCCAAGTGCGTCCACGCCGCATCGAGATAAAAACAGTGTATAAAAACATAAAAACCGAAACAAGTAGCGTTCTAACTGAATGAATACAGCTGAACTACCTATATTCCTTACTGAGCGCGAAGCAGCAGCGCAGCCAGCGACAGGTGCGAACCGAGTGTTCTGTGTGTGTGCGCTAAACTGTGGCGCTGTTACAAAATAGCCTAAATTAAAGCATTTAAAGTTGGGGATAAACCATAGGCTAACTATATTTAGAATACAGTAATATATAACTGCTTATAAAGGAATAAATATCAAGGAGTAAATCATTGAAAATTTCTTTCTATTGGTAAAAAAAATGCAACTGGTCGACCAATAAGAATGACCGATTAGTCGACTAAACGACTAAAGTTGACAGCCCTAGATTTGTCTATGACGCTTTGCCAGACCATAACTCAGTTACAACTGAGAATGGTCTGGCTACTGTTTGGGTGGATCAAATTCAAGAATGAAAGCGGTTATGATCACCTAGAAAAGCAGACAAAAGACCTGCCAGACATAATGATTTTAACCACACAAAATGTATCAAAACTAGAAAGCAAAAACGCTAATGAACTCAGCTGCACAAGTGTATTTGGTCTGTGACACTCTTTCTAACATAATGTCTGATAAGGGAGAGCATTTTATTTGATACGGTCTCACATTATACCGTTCTGTTTGTTTCTACCAAAGCTCTTTATAAAAAAAAACTAAGCTGAAAGTCTAGATGTCCGACATATAATATCTTACTTAAATGCCAGTCTTTGCAACAAGATTAGACACGTTTTCCATTTAATTTGCACCAAATGCAACAAAGAACCTATGAAGATGCAGATCATATAATACAAGCATCTTCCCAGAAGCATGAACTGAATTATGTATAATTTACATTTAACATGCAATAATATATGCACTACAGATCAATTGTATGCACCCATGTACCACCACTGTGGAGAATAAAGGAGAAACCCTCTTATCATAATAGCAGATTATGTTTTGTCTTAACATGATAAGAGACAAATCATTTTTCAACTACATACAGATGTATACTGATATAGGCATAAAGCATTAAAATACCCAATGCTCCTAATACATTTAAAAATTAAATCCTAATAAACTAACAAAAAATATCGAACTGGATAAAAACAGAAATATGGCCTACTATCTCAGTTGCTGCTTAAAACAAACAAGCAGCTCAAATTAGTATTGAAGACACATTTGTTAAAACGGGTCTTTTAATAACAGGCAAAGATCTCACACTGAGTATTTTCAGCATTTTATTCAGCTCGCTAAAAGAAGCACTGCAAACAAAGGGTCAAACGGGCAGAGCTGCTAATACGCTAGGCTACCAGCAAGGGCTCTTTCATTCAAATGAGACACAAACACTAGAAATGTAATGCTTATGTTGTCAAGGTAAATACAGGCACCTTGTGTCAAGAGCCATGTCAGCGTAAAGGTAAAAGCCGGGTTATGAAAAATCCCACACTGTCTATAGATACACAAATAGCAGCAACGGCGGCGCCTGAATGTGTCCAGCCCAGCGCGAGACAGCTTTGTTCGCGGCTCTCGTACAACACCTCTAACCCTACACACGGGAATAAAACCGCTATAATTGTCTTAAAAAATATTAATATATTACCATACGAGCTGCCTCTGCCCACGTGCGTTCCTTCTTTCTCTTCTGTTTGTCCTTCATGTTGTCGCGCGGGTGCGGATTTCTGCAGCGGATATGAAACGTGTGCGTGATACGGCAAGCCCGTTAGCGTGCTAGGCTAGCTGTAACACCAAACGGGTCTTTGATTCCTTTTCACCCCTAGGACTTGCGTAGTCGCTCCGTTTAAACTCGCACGCCTTTCCGTAAAACGGGTTGCCAGTAAAGCGATCGGTTGTTGCAGCAGCGAAGGTCCAGGGAGTTTTTTGGTAACGTCTCACTGGTTAAATAGTGGTAAACACAGACAGGGCGCAGAACAGGCGAGCCCCAGTAGCTTTTGGCATACTGCAGGAAATCCTCACTTTGGAATGCAAGACGAGGAGAACACAACAATGAGGTCAAAGGTCAAACACACTGCAGGAATGCAACACAAAAACAATTCTCCCCATCCCCCTCTTCTTCAGTCGCTCCTACAGCCGCGGCTCATCTGACGCATCTGACGGGATGAGGCCACTCCCATTGTTATGTGCGGCGAGATCAGACGTGATTCATATTAGGCAGCACGACACAGATATGAAAACACTAGAATTAGTTTTTTTTTTGTGCTTCAAAGTTTCTCGATGGATGTCTACTACACAACACGATGTCAAACGTATCAAAGCGTTATTTAAAGTAAAATATAGCAAAGAAAAAGTAAATGTCAAGGTCCTGTGGATTGAACGAGCGTTATAATTAAATAATAATTATGTTTTAAATATGGAAACTGTATTACAACATGTTTTACATGCTTCCTTTTATGGAGCTATGACAGAATTATCTTTCGAAGGAGAAACTTTAATTAAACAGCTCTGATTATGATTAATGATTACACCATTCATATAAAAATTTTCACTTGAAATCTACTCTTTCGTTTATAGTTGATTGTAATATTTGTTTTTAAATCATAAATGTTACCAGACGAATTAAATGTGTCAAGGAAGACTTACTTAAATTAGTTACTAAGTGCATTTTCGTCCCTTGGACTTTTATTTTGAAAAATCGAATCACCGGAAAACATGCTGAAATAAATATAATTCAGTTCGTTTCAAGGATTGTTTTAGTGAATAAGGAAATGTTGGCTCAGAGTGGTCTTTTTTTATTGATTTTAATATAATGTATATATATATATACATCTATAAAATAATACAGCAAAGGACATGTTCATGTTATAGCTTTTGAGACACTGCGGGGCTTTTCGTAGCCACCATCTTTGTTCGGGGCAAAGATGCCGAAAAGTTGTTCTGCATTTAATTGCACAAATAGGTACAATAACAAAAATCCCGAGATCACGTTCCACAGGTAGGTAATGACACAAGTAGCTCACTGTCATGGTGATTTTATGGCATTATATTAAAAAGCTATAAGACTTTTACCATCATCCCTTGTCAGGTTCCCTTTCAGCAAACCATCGGTTCTGAGACAATGGTTAGATAACATTGGACGTGACGACTTCCAGCCAAGGAAGCACATGGTTATCTGTTCACTTCATTTCACCCCGGACAGTTTCAGTGGTTTGGGCAACCGTAAAAATCTGTTGTGGAACGCAGTGCCAACTCTCTTTGCAGTCCCACATCAGGATGCAAAGGTAAATTTAGATCACAGCCTCATTATCTTAAATACAACTAATACACAGTGTGCTTTTTATCTGTGTCTCATTCTCATCTTTCTACCGTCAGCAAAATAATTCTAGGAAGAGGCTGAAGAGGGCTTTAAAATCTGCTGCTGATAAATGTGATGACATTTCACCTGATAGGACCCCTCCTTTCACTGAGGATGCCCAAACTGAAGAGATGCTTCAGGATGCTCAACACTTTCACGATACTGTGGAGGTTTACTGTCAAACCACAAAGGTGAATCTTTTATCTTAAAACCTACACCTATATTTCTGTATATACAATAGTTATGCATTAAATGCTTTTTTTTTTTTTAAAACAGGATTTAGCTGCCGCAGACCACACCTATGCCCTTTTGGACCCATGCACGACCAAAGCCCGTCTGTTTGACATTTTAGATGCCAACAGATGGCTACAGAGAAAGCTGCAGACCAAACGCAGGGTGATAAAAAGAATGAAACTTAAACTGCAAGACGCTCAAAGAGAACTTCTGACTCTGCATCAACAGCTCAGCCATAGACACACGCATTTCCAAAGACGCTCACAGCTCTCAGTACAGTGTGGCAGTGGTTCCAAGACCTAATCAAGCAGTAATAAAGACCTCAGCTTGCACAAACATCTTTGAACTATGAAGAAGTCTGAACATTTGGTTATGGGAAAAAGGAGTGTGCAACAAATATGTTTCTTCAAAAGGGGTAAAGCTGATGTTTTTTTCAGTAATTAGACAAGTCCAATTAAATCTGAACTTTACTGTGCTTTGGTTTTGATAGGACTTATGTGAAACACCCCCCACCCCCCGAATTTGTATTTTTAATATATATATAGTATTTTTTTTTTTTACAATAAAGTCCCATTAGTTATTAATAATGAGCAATACATTTGTTACAGTATTCATAACTCTGGGTTAATGTTAGTTAAAATTGTTAACTAACTGTTCCATGCTCATATTAGCTCTGGTCCATTATATTAACAGATACAGCCTCTGATTTGAACAATGTATTAGTAAATGTTGAAATTAACTAATTAATACATGCTTTAGAAGTATTTTTCAATTTTAGTTCATGTCAAGTAATGTAGTTAAATATAAACTTATTGTAAAGTTATTCAATTCTATCAAATATCACCCCGCTAATAAATTGAGGAAACATTATGAAAGTTTAAAAAAAATAAAAAATCTGATTCTTGTGTACACCATTTAAACACAATACACCTTTCTGTTGTTCCTTGATGATTTATTTTAAAAATGACAGTCTATACTTGCTGCAAATGGTAGGCAATTAGGTAAATTATAACAATAAACACCTTTGAACAAAACCAGTACTCCAGCAAACAATTATAGATCGTCTTTTTTAACATCATTCAAATGGCAAGTGTGCAGAATGGACATTTCATTTAAATTATATAACTCAAAAAGGAAACAAAAAGGTGTGGTACAGCCAGTCTTTCAAATAAAAGATCAAGACTTTGCTTTCATAAAGACCCCAAATACCAAAAAGGCAACAAAAAGTTTAAATCAACCAAAGACTGTTAAAAGGGTGTAGATCTTTCCTGTATTAAGTATGGCACTAAAATGCAGGGATTAAGGGAGATTGAGCCTAAAAAACAAACAAGAGGATGTTCCACTATTATTCCTTTATCCACTGCTATTCAAGTCTTTGGACACAAGGTGGGAGACTAGCCCTACTTGAGATTTAGTTCACATTCTGTTTCCTCAACCAGCACACATTGACAGTACCGGCATATTGTGTGCATTGGCCCCTTTAATTCATATGACACTGCTGGCAAACGTGGAGTGCGAGAGGTGGGCCTCCAAATATTAGACTCAAGGGAATGGGATAAAAGAGAAAAATAATGCAGATGATTAAGCAGTCAGGGTTTCACTAAGAACATGCTTTGCCTCCTAAACACTTGCAAGATCATTTATTTAGAAGCCGGTGGTACAAAAAGTCAGACACAAAAAGAAGACTGACAGCTGGGGTACACACCAGCTCCTGTGGGATTTAGTGAGTCGGATCAAGCAGCAATGGTTTCTCTGTGATGTAATGAGGGTAAAATAGCTCTCTCTGGTGAGTGCTGATTACAGGCACTGTTGTGGATCCATATTTAAAGAAGAGGGGCTTTGTTTAAAAATGGTTATGAGGCCTACCAACACAAAAATATATCTTTTGTCTTGCTTTTTCTTGGAAAGGCCATCATTTTATTAGTGGAAATCCAGTAAATTAAACGTTCCAATTAAATGTTCTAAATCGCAAACAGACATCATGTAGAATATCATTTAAAACAGAACAAAATAAAGGATAAATAGGTATATGAAGACTTATGGGCACAGAGTGTTTCCAGGGCACTACTCCAGAACATCTGTGTCTCTTCAGTCTATACCAGTCCAAGCTGTCCCTTTTAGCTCAATAGATATATGATCCTAACTGTCATTCATTATCAATCCTGTGGGCTATAAGAGAGAGGGAAGAAAAGAACATGGGATTTTAAAATACAATTGGGAATAGCAGTCATCTTCACTGCTGGTAAACACAATTAACCATTTGTCATCATGAAGTCAGGACTACATGGATTCAAATAAAAGCTCTAAAAACAATTGCAGATTGTTGTGTTTGTTTTGCGTACTCACATTGTTTTGGTATCCTGAGTGCTTCTGTGTCACCACATAGAACTTGGTGCATCACACCTCTGAACTGATACAGCATCTTCAGACTCTTTTCCTCACCTACACAGGGGTCGTAGAAGCCTGGTAAACCAGCCTGAGGACATTCATGCAAAAACAACCAATTAATACCTGCAACAGTGCTTAACATTAGGGGTGCAGCAGTTCCACTTTCTCAAAGTTTGTTTTTTTGTATAATTTTTGTGGGTTTCAGAACAGTTTGTACAACACTATTAGAAGGGCCACATTAGGACATTTGAAGCCAATATGTTGAGACTGACATTATTTAGGTAACACTTTACAATAAGGTTTCATTTGTTAACATTAGTTAATGCATTAACTAACTAACAATGAGCAATACATTTGTTACAGTATTTATTAATCTTTGTTAATGTTAGTTAATAAAAATAGTCGTTCATTGTTTGTTCATGTTAGTTCACAGTGCATAAACAAATGTTAAGAAATACAAATTTTAATTATGTATTAGTAAATGTTGAAATCAACATTAAGATGAATAAATACTGTAGATGTATTGTTCATTCTTAGTTCATGTTAACTGATGTAGTTAACTAATGAAACCTTATTGAAAAGTGTTACCATTAATTTTTTCAAATAACCTCTTTTACATGCATTAAGGCTTAGCTACACTTTAAAATGTCAACATTAAATGTAATATTAAGGAAACATACTACCTTTCAAAAGTTTGTGGTAGATAAGATTAAAAAAAAAATGTTTTTGAAGTAAGTCTCTTATGATCACCAAGGCTGCATTTATTTGATCAAAAAGTAAAAACAGTAGTATTGTGAAATATTACAATTTAAAATAAATGTTTGCCATTTTAATTAGAGCTGTAAATAGACAATTTTTTAAATCGTGATTAATCACACCCATTTTGTGCGATTAATTGCACACTTATTGTGAAATTAAGCATACACCATTTATCTATGTTTAACAAGATCATTTTGTCATCATTTGCTTTAGACAACTAAACCATCAGATTGAAAAGTTATTATCAAAAACTGTATTTTTCTGCAAGCTTTTTTAAGTGTAAATTTAAGTGTCTTTCCAAAAAAGTACACTTTAATAACCAAATGAATGAAAAATATTTCTTTAAAACAAAGTACTGACTTGAAACTTTTGATCTTGTGTACATTTGCATCTCCTTTTTTGTAAAATAATTTTACATTAACTTGCAGTTTCTTTCCCCCCTTTCAGCACAGCATTACAAAAAAAAAATAATACAATTTGATATTTCAAAAGCAAAATCACACAACCTAAAAAATAGATTAAACTAGAGAAACCATTTTTGTGAATTCATTGCTGTTCTAATAAGTCGCTCATCAGTTATTTGTCTTTTGGAAGAAAACAAACGACAAAACAAGTATAACTGTGATTTACCTTAGAAGCTTCTGTGAGAATGAGCTTCGAGTCCTTCACCAGGCACTGTAGAGGCACAGTGACATCAATGACCCTTGCCCTTTCGTGCTTACGGCTGTTGTCTGTCACAAACTTGCCATACCACGCATTGAGGATGATCAGACCTGGAATACAACACTACTGAGTCACCAATCCTCATTTGGCACAAAGTTTAAATCATAGTTTGATCACTCCCAATGTTATTGGGTGTTATGCGGTCATACCCATTCTGGACTCCTCCGCTTCGATAATTCTACGCACAGACTCTTGCATCAGCAGAACCTAGAGAAAATAGTGATTTCAAGTAAGACTGCTTGTATATGCACATAGTGAAGGCACACATTTATCACCCTGACACAGCGGCTGATGTGCAGATAGGAACGGTAGCCTGACGCTAACTCATTGTTTCTCCAAGCACAAAGCGCCTGCCGTGAAAGTTATGACCACTTTAAGCGGCCATGCATTATAAATTATTTGCAGCGTATTTAGACATTATAAACTCACAGCTGCTTCTGCCTCTTGCTTCTTCTTGGCGACGTCTGATGCCGAGCTCTCCCGCTGCTTCTCAAGCTCCCTAAACAAAAGGTTCAATGTTAATTCACCATTTGCTCTTTTACTCAGTTTCAGGGCCATTTAAAAGGATTTCAGTCTATTATTTTCCAGACTCACAGGGGATAAACTTTGGAGAAGAGTGTTTGAAAGTCAATTGGCCAATAAAAGACAACAAAATGAACCAGGTGGAGAATGTAACTGTGAGACTGCAGATGTAATGAGCTAAAAAGGCTTACTGTTCCTGCTGAGCACGAACATAAGGTCTGATAACCAGCCGCTGGATGGCCAAGTAGAACACAAGGGGTCCGACAGTGGCATAAAACACGGCGCTGGGTAGAAGCTGGTCTGTTAAGTGAATTGGGAAGAAGTACGTCTGACTCGCTCGGTTCAACCTGAAACAGACAAAAACACCACAATTTCAGAGCTACTGAAAAACTGCTAATGGGAAATAGCTTCAAAATGATCAAAAGCCTTTTACTTGATCTTGAGAGAGACGCCCTGAGGTACTCCAACACTGACAGTAGCACCCAGGACACTGTGCCTACTGATCTTAGTCTCTGCACCGTATTCCACCACAGTACCGAAAAACCCTGACCTGCAACACAAATGCTGTTTATATTAACAGGATAGAAACAGAAAATGTGAATCATCAAGACATTTGAGAGGACGATTGATTAGTTGTGACTAACCACAAATAAACTGCAGGTCATGTGAACACAGAATCTAGGATATCAGTCACAGAGACTGCATTTACACGGCAAGGCCAAATACATGGATCCTGTTTGTTTATATATTTATGTTAGACTAGCAGTCTTCAACCCCCAAGGGGGTCCACAACAATACTGCTGTGTTCGCCATATTTGATCATAAATGTATAATAAGCATCAAACAAAAACACAATGTTAACTTAACTTCAACTAAAGCTTGAACCAAAGCTTATAATTACATAAAACTAAAAAACAAAACAAAAAACAGACAGCAGATCTACTACAGATAGTAGATACACTTTAATATTTCTAAAATAACAAAATTAAAAAACCTCTTATAGCTAATTTTATTTGTGCATGCAATTATGATTCACATTTAGGGAATTCAATGTATTTAGTAACCTCATTTGAGCCTATCATAATCAGTTCTGTAAAAATTATGAGAATCAGATATACAAGCATTTAGAGGTCAGTAAAGATACATATAGGATTTTACCCAAATCGGATGCAAAAAGATAAAATATGTATATAGGGATGGTCAACAACTTTAAAGCACAATATTCTTAAAAAATAAATTGGTATAACAAATCACAATATAGATTATTTTAAAAAACACTTAGAATACAGCAAAAATTATGAAAAGTAATTTATTTAAAATAATGTCCAAAATATAATATTGGGAGAATCTTAATTTCAAAAACCACAATTCAAATAAATAGTAATATTTAAAAATACTGTGCATAATGATAAAAATAAAAGAATATTGGTAGACAAATTTTTACCACTACACAGTTTAAACTTTAAGTGCCAGATTTTTGGTTAAAAGTGTAAATGAAGCCAAAGAAAAAAAACAATAAAACAAGCCATCTTTGTGCAAAACACAAAAAGACAAATGCAGCAATCCACAGATACATACTTGACAGAGCCCTTGATCTTGGTCTGATCATCATCCTGGAATTTGTACTGGTAGCTCATCATAATAAACGTATGTGGAATTCCCAGCTATGGTGATAAAAAAGTGGTAAGTCCTAAGAACAGTGGTTGGAAAAAGAACACTTTGGCATAAAGATCAGGGAATGTCTGTGCAAAACAGCAACTGACCTGCACAGCAAAGGTGAAATGACTGCTTTTGGTGTCCCTGACGATGCTGGTGTTCATGGAAGACTGAGTTCCCCAGCGCCACTGTAAATAACCCATAGTGTTTTTGTCTAGGTGGCGTGCAAGCATAGTAGTGAGACCCGGCCGTATACCACGGGATGAAAACTGCATGCCACAATGAGCCGTTGTGAAGCTGAAAAACACAAATATATCTCCGTATACAATACACAAAATAGTATGCAACATAACAAAAAAACAGCATACAATTTTCTAAGCTTAAACATATTGCTCAAACACCACTGATATGCAATGGACTCACCAGCGTGAAGTCAAGTTACGGAAAATCTTCAGCCCGAAGAGAGGGCCATGAGTGTCTCCTGCCCCAAACTCAACCTGTATTAAACATAGAAATATGTTATTATAAGATATAAATCATGTTTGGTTTCACGCTCCGCAAACATTATAATCCAGTCCATTAGTATGTAAAACATTAACTGAATGTCCTCACCTCTCCCCAGCCCTTAGCCGAGGTAACTCTTCGCAAGGCTAAGTTTATGTTTCCTCCCCCATTGCCATTGTGTGTGGAGAGAGAGCCAGAAAGAATGGCTGTGTCTGAGGTGGTCAGAGGGGCCTATGAGAGCAAGGATAGACAGCCTATAAAACTTATGACTGTATCAAGATCAGGGTTAATGACATATATATATATATATGTTTCCATGAAAAAGAAAAATCTTGTAAAAGTAAAGAAAAATCTAGTTTTAAAAACGTCTCTAAGAAATGTGCTCTTTGTATTTATGTATCAAAAGTTTACATTCATAGACTATATACATATAAGAAAAATATTAACAAATTTAATAGGAAAAAATGAGTGTCACACCATTAACCCTTATTCTGAAAGCATATTTACATGTAAATAATTGCACAAAGTCTAATCAAAATTTAATAACAGATGGTAGGTACGATGTTTTTTGTTTACTCTCGCTGCATTTATTGGAAAAAAAATGCAGAAAAAACAGTAATATTGTGAAACATTACAATTTAAATAGCTGTTTTCTTTTTGGCAAAGCTGACTTTTCATCATCAAAGATCAGTGTCAAATGATCCTTCAGAAATCATTCTAATATTTGGTGCTCAAGAAACATTTCTTTTTATTATCAATGTTGAATGTTGCTGAAAGGGATAGTTCACCCAAAAATGCATAGAAATTCCATAGTACTTTTTTTTTCATATTATGGAAGTCAATGGCTACCATCAACTGTCTGGTAAACAACATTCTTCAAAATATATTTCTTGTGTTCAACAGAAGAAAAAACAAACTTGAGGGTGAGTAAGTGATGATAAAATTTAAATTTTCAGGTGAACTATCCCTTTAACATTTCTGTGGAAACTGTTTTCACTTCTTTCAGGTTGAATAGAAAGTTCAAAAGATCAGCATGGATTTGATCGAAATATAAATATTTTGTAACATTATAATTGTCTTTACTGTCACTTTTGATCAACTACAAACATCTTTACAGTTACTTTTGATCAATTACATTTTTTTATATTTAATATAATAATAATAATAAATTTTATATAGCGCCTGTAAAGTGGCTTCTCAAGGCACTTTACACAATAAAACAGACAGATAAAAATACAAAGAGTACAGGAAAAAAAGGGAACAGAATGGAATACAATTACGGTAGTTAAAACCATCAATAAAAAGCTGGCCTAAAAACAAAAAGTTATTAGGTTAGATTTAAAAATGTTTAGATTCTGTGCATCTCTATAATGAGAAGGGAGTGCGTTCCAGAGTCTAGGAGCATAGGATGAGAAAGCCCTGTTCCCTACAGATCGCAAACATATCTGTGGGGCAGCCAGTAAACCAGCTTGAGAAGAGCACAAATGACGATTAGGAGTGTGTAAAGTTAAAAGCGCAGACAGATACTGAGGGGCCAGACCATGCAGTGCCTTACATGTGAGCATAAGGATTTTAAAATGCAGTATTGGAGTGATGTGTTCATTTCTCCTGTATCCAGTCAAGATCCTAGCAGCAGAATTTTGCACACATTGCAATTTGTTGAGTGTGGTTTTAGGAACCCCAGCAAGAAGTGCATTGCAGTAGTCAATGCAGGATAAAACAAAAGTATCGATAAGCCTTTCAGTCACAGGAGAAGATAGCATAGGGTGAAGTCTAGCAATTAACGCATTATAGTCCGTCACGTCTATTGCGATCTCAAAATTCCGGCCAGTTGATAATACCTAGAATATCAAAATCGACTGCAGGCGGTAGATCCTTTTCCTATTTAGCACCAAAACTTTGGAATAGTCTTCCTACCATTGTCCGGGAAGCAGACACACTCTGTCAGTTCAAAGCTAGACTAAAAACACATCTCTTTGACCTAGCATACACATAATACATTATAGACTTCTATAAATTCAATGTTAGGCTGCATAGATTAGGTCAGCCGGAACTGGGAACACTTCCCTTAAATGTTGATGTACTCGCTACATCATAAGAAGAATGGCATCTACGCTAATATTAGTGTCTTTGTTTATCCCGAGGTTTTCCCGCAGCCTGCCGGATCCAGGCAGTGTCCAGATCTGACGAGGGAGCTTTGCCTGGACCCGATGACAATGCAGTGCTGAAGTATCCACTATCCTCTCCCTATGGAGGATCCCTTTCCCACTCTACAGATAAAGAGTTCCGGCTCGCGTACCCCGAAGTGATAAAATAAAACAAATTCTGTATCAATTTATAGGCAAGAAAAGTAGTTTGTTTAGGCTGGGTTGTATGAATTACAAACCTGCGCACATATTTTAAAAAGCACATAACTAATAGAATTCTGAATGAGCATGTGAACGCCGTCAGCGTTAATCACAGGTTCGCGTTTAAAGTCTGATCATTTCGACGAATGAACGAGGTGAATCAATCAAAGTTAACTTTAGCTGGAAGTAACATTATTCAAGAACCGCTATAACGCCAAAACAATCGGTCAGTGTTTCCCCTACCATTGTTTTGGGGGGGGCGGCCCGCCCCCCCAAAACGACCCCCCGCCCCCCCTAAAATGCTGACGAAATCCAGTCATAAAAAAGGAATTTAGTGTATAACGCGGAATTTCACGGAATTTGTAAATTTGAGGAAAAAATAGAAAGCAGTTCAGTACACTTGAAATCAAATCGCGATGTAGACTAGTGTGTGTGAATATTAAAACACAAAGACTATTTAAATGCGAATCCTGCATGTTCTGTGTGAATGAATGGTGCCGCCGACGCGCCGTTTCATTTACCACACACACACACACACTCACACACTGAAGCACGTGTGACGCTTGCGCTGTTTTTTGGCCTATATGAAGACACAAATGCATGAACTTCCTCTCAGGCTCTAGATCCACTCTGAAAGTCACATAGACAGTAGGAAAGTCACTTCGTGATCATTTCACCGCTTCATTTGAGAAAAACTATCATCATGACATAAACACACAGAAACTCAAAAGGTACTTAACGGCAACCCGTCAAAATAAAAGTTTGGTTTAACTTGACAGAAATATATTACTGTTGTACATTAGAATTTAGATATGTCCCAATGTAATAATACACTAACACTAATCCAAATAAATTATCATTAAAACTGAAATTTTTAAGGAATAATCCATGTTTTAATTTTAACAGTGAAGCTCATTGTGCAGCAAGTTATTTGACAAAAAGTTTATTTAATTTCATATGATTAAAATTGATTATAAATGATACAATTTGTGTTTTATGTCTTCATTTTATTACCAGAAAAAACACAACACAGAATTAGTGTGACATTTTTTTTCATATATTTAAAAAAAAGTATTGTTTAATGATTCATAATACATTATTTCAATTAAATAGACATAATTTGATTGCAAAAAAAAATTACACCACGTATCCGTAACACGCCCGCTCCGCAACACTAGCAGTCCCCCCCCACCCCTGAAAAAAATCCCAGGGGAAACACTGATCGGTTACCTTAAATTATATGTTTATCTCTGTAAAGCTGCTTTGAAACAATCCATTGTTAAAAGCGCTATATAAATGAAGATGACTTGACTAGCAATATTTCTGATTTGAAAAATTTTTTATTCTTAACAGTATATTGCACGTGCGAGTCAAAAGACAAACTCAAATCAAATCTAAGTCCTTAAAAAGAAAGTACTGACCCAAACCTTTAAACAGTAATGCAGCTATGAAGGTTTACATCAGAAGAAACATCATGTAAGGACTGTACCTCTATGGACTGAGATATGTGCATCCTGTTGATCTCAATGTGCGGTAAACCGCCGCTGCCACCAGCAGAGATCTCTTCATAATCCTCCTCATAGTGATCAAAGAGGTCTGTCGCATCAATACCCACGCTTATTGTCCCCTGAGTGAGACAGCGAACAATCAACGAGACCTGTATTAATGTTGACAGCAGATACTGCTTTGAAGGCATTAGGTCAAACCTTAGGGTTGGTCCTTTGCTGTAGTCTTCTCTCCTCTCTCTCTCTTTGAAGTCGCTCATACTCTTCACGGATCTCTCCTGGCGTTCTTTTCCTCTCTACTACCTAGAAATAATTTTATTGTGTAGTAGTGAGCACAAAAAAAGATGACACATAAGCCCACTGGGAAAATGATTTGCTTGAAATGTAATAAACTATGGAACGAATGCTAAAGCATTTATTAGTCTTCCGAATCTTCAACTTACCTCCCATCCTTCCACATCCAGCCCTCTCTTCCCATATACATCATAGATTGCTCTAGATTGTGGGTCGCTTAGTACTACAGAAGCAAATAAATCACAATCATCAAATATTCATGAGTTGGTATTAAAAACTTATGTTTACAGTAAAGAAAAGCTGTCAGCTAAAACATTACAAAACACTTCTTTGATAATAAAAACAGGCACATAATACAACAACAAGTGTCTTGCTTTGTCAGGGGCATTAAATGGCTGAGTGTGCAAAAACATTGTACCTTCATAAGCCTTGTGCACCAAGTTAAAAAGCTGCTCTGCCTGCCTCTTAAGCTCTGGATCTCTGTGCTTGTCTGGGTGGTAGAGCATGCAAAGACGGCGATATGAAGCCTTGAGCTCGTCCTGTGTGGCCTGAATATACAATTAAAAAGAAACTGTTCATTCTTCAGATCCATCATCATACACCTAAACTTCAGCGTTGCTCTTTGGAGGGGAATATACAATAAAAAGGTGCAAAAATCAACTCTAAAAACTAGTTCAGAAGTGGTAATCAAGAACCTTACGAGACTTTTTTGTCTCAAAAATGCAAATTGTCATCATTTACTCTCTCTCCAAACCTTTGTTCTTCTGTTCTGTTCCACTGAGGTTAGACAAAATGAAAAAGTCACCATTTGATTTGATTGTATGGCAAAAGATGAATGTCTGTCCCTAACATTCTGCAAAACATATCCACAGAGGAAAGTCATACAGGTTTGGAACAACATGAGGGTGAGTAAATGATGATAGACTTTTCACTTTTGGGTCAACTATTCATTAAAATGACCTTAACAGTTGGCAAAGAAAAAATGATCTCAGAAAACGGTTCAATGAATGTTTAAATGTCATTTGTAGAGTTTGAAGTCAATACTTTGGTAACAGTTTCACTTTTACAGTTGTGAAGTGTCAACAAGAATCGCGTATACCCCGTGCTTCTCGTTGAAGTCTAAAAAGAACAGAAGGCTGTTACGTATTATATGTCAGATCTATTAGAAACCATGCAGTCAAATTCCAATGATAAACAAGGGTCACGGTGTGCTGCTGACTGAGCCATAGCTTAACGGCATGCTGTCGGATCCTGTTCAACAGCGCGATATGTGAAACGCCTGCTTTTACAACTCACTTGCGGCTCTCTCACCTTAAACTTCTCATTAAACAAGAGTGTGTCATACCTCTCTGCGGACGTTTAACAAAGAATAATAGTCATCATTGTCGATTTCATCTTCTTCCAAGGCCGCCGCCATATTTACCACCTTTCATCCCCGCCCCAGCGCCAGATCAAACTACGCTGATCTTTGGTGTGTAGAGTCGGAGCGCATGAAGGTCTTTAGTGCCACCCTCAGGATGGGAGAAACACTGAACAAAAAGCTGGGGTGACTACTTTGGGCCCGTCCCAATGTAGTATGTTGACAGGCAGGTAGAACATCGAATCATTGCATTCGGACCGAATGTACGAACATTTTTTGGTCCTGTGACTTCCGAAGAAGATGTACATGTTTTAATATTTAGACCACTTCTATAATTGATTGCTATCAAAAACATTTTTTTTTAACTATATTAAACATTATAACCCCCCCAATGTTCAAACCAAATCTACGCCCTTGACAAAAAGTGTTTATAAAACAAATTGCTTATCCTACCTTTAAGTGTATTCTTCGTGTCCACAATTATTTGCACACATTCCAATTCACGATAAAGAACTGAGGGAAAATGAATCGGCACTGAGCTTGTCTGAGTTCATTATGGAATGTAAGACAAAAATGTTTTCGGCGATGAAGGCATTTATGTCATCTTTTGTTTTGGTGTAAATTAATCACTTAACACTAAACTGCCAATAAGCCACTGGGATGGGAGACCACAGACGGTTGTCATTTACTGTATTGTATTAATAGAAAGCCAGTTAATATAAAGATATAATATAAATTTCCCAAAATTAGGTTTTAATAGTATTTTCATACAGTGACCGTGGGGGCGGGAACATGTATGACTATGTGCACTTACTAGACCGTCTTATTCTAGCATTTAATGCTGAGGAGTAATCTAGCCTAAAAGCCTCCAAAAGGTTATAAAGTACACAGCCTCACTAGGATGCAGCCTTCCGTTTGAGAAGCACCCGTGGTCTTTGCACTTGACCACTTGTCTACTTACATGATGTATTTCCTGTATTTGGCCCAAGTGTTAAGTGGGCGTGAAGGCCGCGAGTGTGTTTAGAACTTTTGATGACCTGATGGGACACACTTACAACATATATATATATTTTTTTACACATTTTGGTTTTCAATAGTTTAAAATAAAACTTCTCAATGTATGTTTAATAGTCCCTATGTAATAGATGACACAATTTAGTAATTCTGGTGCTTAATTAGGTGATAAAAAAACAGTTGCAAACGTTTTACAAAGTACACGCATGGGCCTACTCATCTCTATATGCAACACTTCATGTTTTACTACAAAATTTATTTTCATACAGTTGAAAATATCTACAATATTCACATCTAAGTTTTTCTTCACATTGTGTGAAGTTCCTGAACTTATTAAATAATGGGATACAATGCCAATACCCACATTTAAGTTCCCTGCACTTGACCACTTACATGAAGCATTTCCAGAGTTTGGCCGTACTCAATGGGACACACTTAACCAGTGCATGCTTGTGATAGCCTGGTTAAAACCAGACCATTCTCAGTTGTAACTGAGTTATGGTCTGGCAAAGCGTCATAGACAAATCATTTCCAGAGGGGCGTCACCAACGGACGTCGCGGATAGACCTAAACCCAATCAGAGCGTTGAAGGAGATGACGTATGCAGAGCGGCGGAGAAACATCTCCGAGTGTTGTTCTTTGCTCGGTTTTTAACAAAAAGGAAACGTTCAAATCGCTTAAAACAGACGCGATAGCTGATTCGAACGAGTGATGTTCGACGGCGGCATCCATCTTTGTAATGTAGGCTACAAAATCTGCTTCAAAATCCCAGCGCTGTCGTCATCGTGTAAAGCCCGCCCCAACGTTTCTGATTGGTGCCTCGATTTCGACGGATTGGAAATGGGCTTGAATGAGCTCTTTGCCAGACTAACTTTCAGAGCAAATCTAAATTTGCCGGAAGTTGTCTGGGTTTTCCCAGGCTATGCTTGTGATGCTTCATTCGCAAACGTTTTGCAAAATATAATTATTACGTATTTGACTTATCAAATACGGGAAATATCAATGGTATGACCCATTTTAGATGCATCCAAAATGACAAAAACAGTGGTTACATATACTTACTTAACTTAATTCTCTCCGTGCCAGGAGGCACACAAGGCTTGGACATCACTCCTCCATTGGGTTCAGTTTGCAGCTGCACGTCGTGCTGTGTTCCACGTGTTCCAGCCTGCACCGTTTCGTTCCAGTTCCACCATTCGCCGCCAAGTTGTTTTTGGGCGGCCTCTTTCCCTTTCTTCCTTCAGGTGTCCACCCGAGGGCCACAGCACAGTCGTCCGTTCTGTCCTTCCTCAGCACATGGCCGATCCAGTTCCATCTCCGTCTCCTCACCTCCTCACTGATTTTCTTTGTTTCTGCCATCTCTAGAACGGACTTGTTGGAGACGTGTTGCTGCCATCGAATCTTGAAAAGCTTCCGTAAGCATTTGGTCTGGAATATGTCTAGCTTCTTCTCCTCTCCTTTGGTTAGTTTCCAGGCCTCGCAGAACCGAAAGTACTAAGCTCTTGAAAAGGGAGGTTTTGGTTACATATAAACATATTTAAATTTTTACATTTAAAATTTTAATTTTTTTAATCAAAATTATTGCTAGGAACTAATCAATATCACTGAATATTGGTAGGGACATGTTGTTGCCATGTTGTTGCCATTTTAATTTTATTGGCTGAAGGGGATGTCATATGATATTACTAAGACGTTTTTTTTTTGTTTTTTTTTTGGTTGAACATTATTATATCAACAGTAAATGGGACGTTTTATATGAATAAACGTCCTATTTAGGGACGCTTATTCATCCAATAAGAAGTTTAACCCTATGGGACAACGTCATTTAAATAATAATACAATAATAATAATACAAAAAAATTGTAATATCATATGACATCCCCATCCCCTTTTGGCAACAAGGAAGTGAAGGAGGCATTAGCACATGTTAGGTCACATGCTATCGGTGCTCCATTGTGAGTTCATTTTAGACTACAAAATGCATATAAAATCCTTTTTTTTTTTTTTTGAATATCATTGTACATCCGAATGTGTTTTCTAAAGTTTTTGGTAATTTTTAGTGCACATTTTTTAAAAACAGTCACCCAAAGACCAAAAAAACTCTTCATCATGCATAAATGACAAAGTCCTTTTAGGGGATATATTTTTTCTGTGTAGCTGGCACTATTGTTCAGTGCTGGCATGCAGTATAATAGTCTTTTTGCCTGTGTTTTAGGTTGATGTTAGTAAGTTTTATAGAAGACAGAGAGGAAAAGCTGTAGGCTACCTTTTCCAGAGACTATTGATGATAGAAAGTATAAAGTTTTTTTCCAAAAAGTATCGAAGTTTAGAGAGTCGGACATGTATCCCTAAGGTTGAGGGTTTGATTCTCAATACCGACAGGAAACTACTGAGGTGTGTGTGTCCACGGTTTGAAGTGTGTGTGTGTGTGTGTGTGTGTGTTCACTACTCACTACTCCTAATGTGTGAGCACTAACTTTGATGGGTTAAATGGAGAGGACACATTCAGAGAATGGTTTACCACACTTGGCCTTCACATGTCACTTTCATTTTCCTTCATTTAGTGACGGCAGTGCGCCAAAAAATGAGGTTGTAGAAAGAAAGGAAAAAGTTGGGGATCAAGGAGGATAGAAGCAGTGAGGGTGATGGCAGAGATGAAGAATATAAATCATAGATTGTTGTGGAAGTCAGGCATTTGGGTACATAATCCTATGCCAGTTTGGAAGATTTGATTCATTCTACAACCAAAGGTCAGATGGCAATGCCTATTGACCTCACTACACGAACAAAAATGAAGACAAAACAGGTCAAAATTGAGTTACATGTGGAAAGTGTGGGGTACACAGAAAAAGAGGAGTCTTGGATTGATTTTTACTCGTGCTACAATCATTGATTTGGAATTCCAAGAAAGAAACCATGTTTTAAATGCTTTTTGAAACAGGTTTTACTACCACTACTTTGAAGGTGCATCAGAATTTGTAAAATTTTTGGCATTTTCACATCTGAGATCCATATGAAATATAGCAGCACAAGACGAAATGGAATGTTAATAAAGCTTTTTAATGTTTTGTTTTTTAAAACACTAAGACCTTTTCACTACTCTTCAGATAGTGAAAATGCATTTGAATGTGAAGTTTCAGACAATTTGCAGAAAGTAATTTACCCTAATAGGACATTTACCCTAATATAGGACAAATGTATAACCCTAACAGTTATACATGATGGCACCCTAAAAAAGGTCAAAGGTCAGATGTAGAAAAATAACTTTGTAAAATGATATTAGCCTTAACTATATGTAAAATTTTAGTCATTAATGTTTTTCTAACTGTGATTTCATAATTAGTCCCAAAGAGGGTTAGATTTTTTTTTTCAGTTTAAAAACTCAAAAGGCCTCTTTTGGCCTTAATTAACATTCGGTTAGTAATTGACTGTAGTTGAAATCAAACCCAATAAAATCAGTGTCATGTGCACAATCTTTAAATAATTCCACCTGGATTTTAATTACAGATGAATAAAATCAACTTGAATATCTGACAACACATACAATTGAGTAAAATGATTGTAACAAGTTGAATGGATGGAAACAAAGATGTTGTCATGAAGTAATGATGATAAGAATCGAGTAGTCTTTGAAGACCTCTGTGTGATGTCATGTGTGAACTTTATGTGATCCCAAGAATAGATTGCAGATGTTCATAAGGAATTATGCTGTAATTTTTAGTCCCTTAGGGGATTCAAGTGCCTCAAAAGTTGTAGTAGACATTGTTCAGGCTTTATGTATTAGCCTTCTGAACACGTTCTAATCCTAATTTAAACCGTTGCTATATATGCATTGAACTTGATTAGTACTTGAATACACCTTGTGGTGCAACCTGGACACATCGTCAGTGATACTCCCGGGGTCATAGGGTGTTTCGGGTCTTACATCAGACACCCTCACCCGGGCGACCCAGCCGGGGGTGATCAAGCCCCGACTTGTGTCCAGGTAGCGCTCTACGCCACGCGTCCCCCCTCCTTAACCAGAGCCACCGTGCTGCCTTTTCAGCGGCTTCCAGGATGTTCTTGATGGCTCTTTGCCTGTGCAGTCCGCAAATCCCTAGTCCCAGGAC